AGGCCTTCCTGATAAAGTTAGCTCACAATAATTTGTCAACTTTTTCTTTAATGGCCTATTGTCTTTTAAGGGTAAAAGTTTTTTTTTATTGTCAAACTGGTTTGACTTTGAGATTAGTGTGTAATTTGTGGACTATCATTTCGATATCAATTTTGGACATATTGGATGGTGTCCAAGCAAATAGGTTGACATTATCTTTTATGAGTTAAATCAATTGATTTTTATGTTAGAGCTTGGCTTTGATCTGCATGTATTTTTGTGCAATGTTATTTCAAAATGAAATTGTCATGAGGTCTTCGATCGACTCAGGTCGATTTGCATTCAAGTCCTATCTTTGATCGATTATCTCTTTTTGTTTCATTAGGTCGAAATCATTTTCTACGAAAATAAATCCTGACATAATGATTAGTATATTGAACAACTTATTGAATGCATTAGTAGAAGTGAAGTATATTCTTCATTTAATGTTGTGTTTTGATTGATGTGTTAGCTTGGTCCAAGTAACATCAAATTTTTTACACCAACTTAAGAGCTCGATCATTTCTACTGTTACATCAAAAATTCAAAACATAGAACAAAATTAAACTTTTTCAAAGTTTAAGAGCTCAGATCGGCTTAAGAGAATGCTCATCTCAAATCGATCTTATGTTTTGTGCTGTTGTCGATCATTTTTTACATTTTGTTAGTGCTCTATGTCAGTTTCTCCTTGCTTTCCACCTCTCTATCCATCAAGCTACCTATCTACTTTTCAATCCTACCCTTCATTGTTATGACATAATATTGCTGCGCCATGGACTGATCTCTTATAAGTTCTCCAACCCTTGTAAATGTTGGAAAATTTCATTTTTAAATAAAAAGTTGAGCCTATAAGCTGTATAACAGACTGGCTAGGTCAGGCTAATATCATGTTATACGCAAATAGGATATCCATTACCATAAACTTTACAACCAAGGTAATATCTTTAGTTCTATCTTTAAGGAGATTGAGAGCATGGTAGTTCTTTTTACGAATACCTGTTCATTTTCAAACCCCACTAATGTGGTGGTGATTGACTTTAATTAATCTTCGCCAATCTCTATTTTCTTAAAATAGCCATAGTACATAATATCGGTCGAACTCTCATTTCAAATGAGATTCTTTTAACCATATAATTGTACACTAAGGCTGTGATCACTATGGCATCATCATGTAGGTGTTGGATCCCTTTTAGATCTTTCAAGCTGAATGAGATTAGCTTGTCTCTTTTATCTTTTTTTTTTTGGCTAAGAAGCCTACTGTCATTATCATGCCCAAGTTAAACTTTCTTTTCATCGACGTAGAGCTACCTTCTATGATCACGTTGATCACCCCCAGCGATTGATTTGTTATTATCAGGTTGACCTTTTTTTTTTTATTCAGCTTTTCTCTTCAAGCATCTTTTATTCTCTAATCTGCTCTTCTCTCTTTACCTTGGGTAAGCACTTTGTAGTCATGTCTGTAGTCCCTTCTAAATTGGTCTTATCTTTTTTGTCCTATAAATCTTTTAAACTTGACTTCTATGTTTAAAAAGTGCCTTTCATCGAGACAACGACCATAATATCAAAAATTGAAGTACCATCATATGTCTCCAAAATGGGTATTTTAAATCTTTTGAGAGGCATGGCTTTGCAATCTCTTCAATAAAATGTAAGGTCTCTAAGAACTTGAGCTCATCTTCAAATGTCATTACTTTTGTTTTTAGCTCTTTCTCCATAGCTTGCGTCCGAGCTTTCAAATCTCTGTTCGTTTGAAGTTTGTGGTTTGTTTGTTTGGATTTTTAAGTAGTGGCATGTGTATAATTGTAGCTGGGGTGGTGATCAGTTGGATTGGTGTTTTTTTTTTCACTAGAGGCTAATGAGACTTTCACCTTTTTGTAGCTCGATTGCCTGACAACAGCCTCTTGGTCAGGTGTGACTAAGTCTGACATTTTAAAGACTTGTGGTAGGTTTATAGTTTGCAGTATTTGCTTGAGAGCTTGTATTTATTTTGTCATGGCTTGAAATTGTTTCATAGTTGATCCCACTTGTGGTTGAGCTGGGTGGACAGAATGCTAGCTTAGGTGAGTTTTTGTTCCAACCAGGACAATTGCCTCTCTTTCTTTTTGGGTTTTTTTCTTATGGCATTGTTTTGTGCTCGGCTAATATTAAATGTTTCCCCTTACTTGGCATGCCAAATGTTAGTACTGAGTTCTGACCTGAGGGTATTCTTGTAAATGCAGAAGGAAAAGATGTTAGAGGTAAAGGCAGGGAGTATTCCTTGTGTTTGCACTTCGATGCGCAAGTCAATGAAGATTAGGTTGGGAAGAAAATAAGAAAGTTGGAAGGAAAAGAGAAAGATGAATGGGATAAACCTGGCTTCATGGTACCTAAGTCTTTATATTTATAGGTAAGCTGAAGAGGACAAAAAAGGTACAATTAGGATAGGGCCGAGCTAAGGTGGCATTGACCATGTCAAACTGACCTGACATGTCAAGTTGGCACAAATGACCAAGATAACTTTGGTTGTTTGCTGAAAGCTTTGAGAAGGGAAAAGACTATTATACCCTTTTGACCATTATATGCCACTAATAGAAGTAATTCCAAAAATGAGTAGAATAAAAAAACTACATTTGTCTTGAACTTAGTTTCAATTACTTTATTTGTAGTAGTTAGATACATTTGTCTCTTGGCACTGTCCTAATTTATCTTCCATTTGAATCTTGAACATATGACAGAGTTCAGTAATTCACTATTGTAAGAACGTGGAGGTCCACGTATAATTTACAAGGTATTATTTGTTTTGATCCAAAGGTTTCACAATTTTGTTTCACAAAAAATATCTCATAAGCATAGGTTTAAGTTTCAACTTATTTATCATAATAGATTCTCAAAGCATCCTGATATGGGATTGGGTTGTCACAAATAATTGCAAGGTATTATTTGTTTTGACCTAAAAGTCTCATAGTTTTGTTTCACAAAAAACGTCTTATAAGTATCGATTTAAGTTTCAACTTATATATTATAACAGATTCTCAGAACATCCCAATATGGGATTAGAATGTCACAAACAAAACACATATAAAACCAAGATTACACTAAACATTAGGAGCACTTAGCACACACACACAAAACTATATGTTACAAACAAAGCACACATAGAACCAAGATTACATCATACATTAGGAGCACTTAATTCTAGTGGAATTCTAGAGGTGACTTTCATGGTATAATATTTGATTCCCATCCGACTAGTAATCGCTCTAGCATCATTTGTGGAGATTTGTACCCAAACTATAAAATATTGTCCATTTTAACTTGAAAATCTCACTATTTTGTCTCATAAAATACGCTTCACAAATATGAATTTAAATCTTAACTTATATATTATAACATATTTTCAAAATATTCCAATACAGAATTGGAATGTTACAACAAATGCAACTACAATTCATCTATATAAAGCATCACCCATCATTTGAACTGTATGGTTCTGTGTGTGGAAGTTAGTATTATTGTAGTTTTATGAATTGGGTTCTTTCTGATTATGTTCTGAACAGTGAAGCATATATAAACACAGAACTCTGCATGCAAAGATCACTGACTAAAAGGAAAAAGAAAAAGGACAAATTTCTTCAATATAGAGCAGTTGATTAAAAAATATATGCAAATGGGAGTTTTGATTGTCAAACTCACCAAGCCAGGCTCGTAAGGAGGCACAAATGATGTTGCAAGCTCTCTCTTGAGGTTTCTCATGAAAAGATCACAATACAAGTAGAGATTCTTGACTAAAATTTTATCTTTATTACCCTCACCCTCAGTTGAATGCTACTTTCTATTACTTCCATATCTGATTCTTTGGGAAGACCCCCGTTCACGTAATTCTTCAATATCACCTGTTTGTTCCATACCACTAGTTCACCAGCCATTCTTAGGCGATAGAAGGAGGAGAAATGAAGGCCGAAGCATGTAAGCAGCAATGAACTAGAAAAGAGGAAAGGTAAGGGGGAGTTGTTTTCAAGGAAAAAAATCATTGACAGTGACAGGGTGATGTCGATGCACAAACATATTGGACATTGGTTGGTCCAAATGTCTCTTGCCTGCTTCTTGACTCCATTAATGCAAGACATCTTGTGCTTGAGAACCAGCAAAGTCCAGTTTTAATATTTTATTAATAGAGTATTCGATTTGATTGATCTTTAAATCTTTAAATTATATATAGATATTTTTTTATTTGTTGACCAAAACTATATATATTTAATTTTAAATTGATCTACGTTTGATTAATTTGCACTAGGGTTAAAAGAAATTTTGAAATTGTTTTTTTTTAAATAATGATAAACTATAATTTGTAATATTCTATGATTTCATTTTCATTGTGCTTTTTTAAAAATTTTTTTGAAAGTGATAGAATAAAAAATGAAATTATAAGAATTGATATTTGAAATTTGAATTTATTGAATATTAATTTTAAAAGTAAATATTGTACAAATGAATTAAGGTAAATCTTGAATTTTATATTTTTTTGAATTTTGCAATAGTTTATTAGTTTATATGTATGAAAGGAAGACAAAGTGATTTTTTTGTGTGTTTTTAATAGTTATGTTTATGATGTTTTGAGTTTAGGTTTAATCAAGATTTTAGGTTAGCTAAATTGAGAATTTAATTTAAGTACCTTACATATAACTTTTTAAAAATTTTATAAAATAATAAAATAGATTTATCCAATTAAATTATTTAAAGCAACTATTCATATTATGAATTTAGTTTTATCCATTTATAGATTTGGTATATAAAAGAGGTTTTACTCTAGTGGAATAAAGATCATATAAATTTATATTTATTTTTAGTGGTAATAAATAATCTTATAACTAAAATTTAATCAAAATCACAAAAAAAGATAATTCTCACGAAAGTTTTTACATGCTTTTAAGTTTTTTTTTTTTTTTAGTTTTTAAATTATAAGATTTGAAATCGAGACTAATTCAAGTTACATTTATTTATATATAATAATTATTGACCCCAAACTATGAAATTAAGTATTGGCAAAAGAATGGATATTCCAATTTCCAAGTTCATCGATTGAATTTAAAAGGCAGTTTCCAAGTTTATTGATTTAAACAAAGTAATCAACGGTAAATAAGCCTTTGATTTCAATTTGGATCACACACAATTAACTGCAACCACCTGTTTGCCAATGTTGCGGCCACTGAAGAGGCCAACTAGTGCAGCTGGAGCATTCTCCAGGCCATCGGCTATGTCTTCAACATACACAACTTTTCCTTCTCTAATCATTGGCAATATCATTTGAAGGTACTTTGGGTAGAGGTGATAGTAATCAAAGACCAGGTATCCTTGCATTCGTACTTGTTTCATCACGATCGACGTCAAATTGTGTACCCCTTCAGGCTGTTCAAGGTTGTATTGAGAGATCATCCCACACACTGCAATGCGAGCATAGACTCTCAGGTTGAGTAGAACAGCATCCAGGATCTTTCCTCCTACGTTGTCGAAGTAAATGTCGATGCCTTCAGGGAAGAACCTGCCTTGACAATAATGGGTTGGCTTTACATTTCAAAATCAGATAGTCACGCAAGAGCTTTTCATCGATTACACAGTTTTATTTTAGCTGTTCATTCCATCAGATTCTCTTCCAAATTTCAGGGTCAAATTCAGCTAAGGTTTCACAATTGCACATCAGATTTCACTTCAGTTGCAAGTAAAATTGCTACATATACTGACCTTTTCAATGCTGCATTATAGTCTGGCTCTTCTTTATAGTTGAAAGCCTCGTCAAATCCAAATTTATTCTTCAATAGATCAACCTTAAATTGAAGCAGTGAAAATAATATTCAGATTCAATATCGTCATTTTCCTCAAATGCCGCAATAATGTCCGGTTGGACAATGATTTTTTCAGTCAGAAGTGCAATAGAAATTGCTTAATTGTTAAAAATAGTAGGCAATTTATTGAATGAACAACCATATGAGGCCTGGCTTGCTATACCTTCTCATTGCTTCCAGCACATCCAACGACATAGCAACCTTGCAGCTTTGCGAACTGCCCCACGAGCTGACCCACTGCACCAGATGCTGCTGAAACAAAGACATATTCTCCTGTCTTAGGAGAACAAAGCTCATAGAAACCAATATATGCAGTCATACCAGGCATACCTGTCAAGTATATGTCACATATATAAACAATAGTTAAATGAACAGCAGATCAGAGAAGTGCTAATACCTATAATCTTCAAACAGTATCAGTTGAACAGTTCCTTGAAGCAAATAAAACAAACCAGAAGGGAACAAAGGATGGTCCATGTACTTCACCACAAGCCAGGTGTGTTTAATAGGACAAACTTAGGTAGCAAAGGCATGATCTCTATTTTTTATTTTTTGGGGGGTGTGTGGGTATGCAAAAGAACCTCAATTGAGGACCAAATTCCAAGCCCTTCAGTTTATGGTGAACTTTTGACGGGCTTGTACCATAACAATAATATAGTTCCAGCCATGCTCCAAACTAAGTCATCTTCCCTGGGACAGGGAGGCCACATCCCTTGCCATATATAAAGCTATTTCAGCTCATAATAATGGGAGTTTAGTGGTTTAGCTTGGGCCCTTTGGATCATGGGGACCTTGGCCTTTATCAGCCAATTATCCTTCAAATTAAAATGGATTAAGCTCCCTGATCAGTTTATCTCTTATTCCATTCTTCTATATAGTTATCAGCTCTATATATATATATATATATATATATTTGAGTTCTGAATTTGCTTATCCTATACAAAGTGTCAATATCTAAAGACTAGTAATTATTACCAAGAATTCCAGCATAGTAGGAAAGAGGAACATCTGTGTGTTGAATCTTAAACAGGTGATTTGTCTCTGTAATCAGACTATACTCTTCCCAACCAGTCAGCCCCCAAACCAAATCATCGTTTTTGAAGTCTGGATGTGAAGAATCCAAAACTTTAGCCACGCCATATCCAGTAATAGGCTGCATCATATTTCCCAATTTCAAAAAATTAGTCAGTTACTCAAGGAAATGACTAATGACCAACTGACACCCCACCAATCTCTCCAAAAATATACTTCATTCTCATCTTTAACAAACTAAAAGAACATAAAAAAAAAAAAAACAATTCAAGAAGTTAACAATCTTGATCATATGGAAAATAGACAGCCAAACTAAGAAACGTGAATAAATGAGCGAACCGACATAATGTCCTTGAATCTTCATCATTCCTGTTGTATGATTTACGAATGACATGACAGATAGAGTTTTTTTTTTTACAATAATTCCATAATTACAACCATCTGGTACCCTGAGTTTAATTTTCAGTACCAATGATCAATTACATGTGTGCATGCTAACTGGTTTACTATTCATGGTGACTGTGCATATGAAATTCAGGGGATAACTGCATCTGAATTGTTAATGGTTCATCTGCTATCAAGATAATTGTGGACCAGAACAAGGAGTCAGTTGTGTTCCAAACTTCTAGTTAGATTGTATAAACTAATTCAACGGATTGTTTCCCTTGATCCACTCAAGAGAGACACTTGGTGCTTTGTCGACCATCCCATAAGCTACAGTTTAAACTGACATATTTTTCTTCAATTTTTTTATTCTAATGGAATTGGAAAATCATTAACCAGAAAAAAGGGGGATGAAATCATAAGTAGAATAGAAACCAAACCATATATAGAAACCAGAAGATTTGTTTGGGGTAGCAACTAGGAGACAGATGCCCACCTCGGATAAGGAAAAGGTCAGAGAAATTTATGGGCCTTCTACTTAACGAAATATAAAAATCTCGGATCTGTGAAGTCGTCGTTGAGAAGTTGCAGGGAATTAAAACAAAATCTACCACAAATCACTTTAAATCATAACTTATTTTTCAAACCATTGATTTTGTTGTATTTGTCAAAGAAAGAAAAGTTTACTCTTGGATAAACATAAGAAGAAGAGGCCTAAATAATGAATAAAAGCAATATTAAATTTCAGTTGAATTTTTAAATTTCATCAATGACTAATTAATCTTAATGTTACTATTTTTTTTCTGTATTTGAAATTGTTAGAAATTGAATCTTAATATATGAACTTATAATTTATAATCTAATGAGAGTATATAAATATAAGTACATTACATTTATGTATTATTTTTTTCTATCAATAAATCATATGATTATGAATATGGAAAAGTTATTATATTCATAAAAAAAATCTTAACGTGAATGCATTCATTATATGATGAATAAACTAAGAAAATTCAATCCCATAATTGTAAATGATCATGAAAGGGAACAAAGAGAGAGAGAGAGAGAGAGAGAGAGAGAGAGAGGAGGATGAACTAACCAAGCCAGGAGTGTAGGATTCAGAGTAATGTCTGTCGAGCTTCATCATTTTGAAAACCATGTAGGGATCGCAGGAGAGAAAAAGATTCTTGACAACAACTGCGTTAGAGTCGGTTGGTGCTTTAAGTTTGATGGTTCCTGCAGTCAAGTGCATGTCTGTTTCTTGAGGTGAACCCGACACATAGTGTTTCAATATCACCTTCATGTTGCTTGCTTCATCAATGGCTCCCGTTGCCTCCGCCATTTTAACTAATTTATTTCCTTTCTAATTTCCTCCTAATTTCTCTGTAAACAATCCTATGGAGAGAATTACAAATCGAACTATATATATATTGAAGAGCGGTGGAGGAGAGAAGAGGATTCTAGTATTTATAGGAAGCTAATGGTGTATAATTTCAAAGGTCTTAGGCTTTTTTTTTTTTTTTTATTCCGGGAAATTGGATTCGTCAAGCTTTTTAAGTAAAAAATATATGCATCTATTATTAAATTAAATATCAATAAGAGATTAGTTTAATTGACAAGGATTGTTCATCTTTATATAAAGGTTTTGTATTCAAATTCAGTCAATAACTTCTTATTTTGGTTATTTTGAATGTATAATTTTTAATCATTGTTTTTAAATTATAAGTATGACATATTTTATTTTGATCTAAAAAATTAAACAATTTATTTTCTTTATTTTTTAAATTATTAAATTAAATATTTGAAAATGTCTTAATGTAAGTGTTTTTAACTAGGAAGTTTAAGGAAAAAATGAAACATGCATGTGACCATTTTCATTCAAATGGACATGCATATAATGCTACCCTATTCTTCGTTTTTTTTGGAAAACTTTTGGATGTTTGTAGCTAGCGATATCCTATGTTAACAAACCAAAAATCCAAACATGTATTGGATCTTTGGAACATCGAACTGTTTAATGTATGGATTACGTGGAAGAGATAGCAAAAATTGAAACTTATTTGAACATATCTTCCAATAGAAAATAATAATCAGAATTTTAGTGAGCATTCCGTCATACAAATCAGTATGTTTGATGTATAACGTTTTGGTTTGTATCATCTAATGATAACATCAATCAAGTTATAACATCTCTAGTATATTCGAAATTTAAATTTTAATATTTATAATTTTTTTATTTTATAAGTTAGCCTTTTTTAAAAAATATAAAAACATATTAAATGCGATACATTTTTTAGCCCATAAATCTTTTATGATATGGGTCATTAGATGGTTCAAAGGTTGATAAAACTATGTTCTACATGCATTTTGAAATTCTTTTTTTTTTTTTAATTTTTGTCAAGATGCAAAGATACAAGTACCAAGAACAAGTACTCGAATCATCAGAAAACTGGCTCTGTCCATCAATATATACCTTACTTTTCTGTCTGTCACGAGTATATGGCAATTTGCTTATTAGTGTCTGATTTTGTAAGCCTCCTGTAACATGCTTCTAATGCACCGAATGGTGCGTTTCAGGTCAAGTCCCTTACTGTTTTCACAGTCTTAGAGAACTGTCGTATATCATGCAGCTGCCAATTGAAAATTTTGGGATCTCTTATTCGAAAACAGCTTCGAATCTTTCTTCTCCAAATAAAAAAAAAAAAAAAAAAACCGGATTTAATTGCTTACCTTATAGCTATATAAGAATGTCTTACCTTTAGGTCAAGGCCTTTTGCTGCAATAACATATTGTATTTGATGAGTTTTTTACTGTACCAGGGGGCTTCTGCTGTTATAACATGTGACGCCAGTTGCCTGGAAATTTTGAGCCATTATAAAGATGGTGCTTTCTTTTATTCATTTTAACAACAGGCCGACCTTTTCTTGTTAATTAGAATTCAACTTAAAACCAATTAGTAACAAGGTCAATTTGAATATAAAGTCACAGGGCTCACAGCAAACATTAGACTAACCGAAGTGGGATAACACCAACGGTACAACATCTACACCGGAATTCATGAAAAATTACTTTTTCATATTCTCTCGACGGAGACAAAATAGAAAGAGGAGCATAGTTTCTTTGCCACTTGAGCCAACCATTCGTTGCTGTCTCACATTTTACATCTACACATACTATATATATATATATTAAACCCGTCTCCAAACAAGCACCAAACTTTTTCCTTCCAAAACAAGCAGCCAAAACCAGGTTATATAATATGCTGTTGTTGAAGAAATTATACAGGGAAAAGATAGCTAAATTACTGGTGAGAGGCTCAACATAGTGGTGAAAATGGTGAAAATATGCACAAAAAAGGAAGCCTGCAAGTCACTGAGAAGCAACTTTAATTATCTTTTTGCCAATGCAATGGCCACTAAAAATTTCAATTAGAGCTGCAGGGCCATTTACAAGGCATTCTACAATGTCTTCTATGTAAGCAATCCTTTCTTCTCTGATGAAAGGCAGCATCATGTCCAGGAACTTTGAGTAGAGGTGACAGAAATCGAAAACCACGAATCCTTCCATTCGAATCCGTCTAAAAGCAAGGCACATTAAATTCTTAGTACCTTCTGGCTGATCCAGATTGTACTGGGAGATCATTCCACAGACAGCAATGCAGCCATGAACTCTCATATTTTGAAGTACTGCATCTAGCATTTCACCCCCAACATTCTCAAAGTATATGTCAATGCCTTCAGGGAAATACCTGCAGGTATAATTATTACTTAGAATTTGCATGATTGTATATAACAAATCAGCAAAAGTTTGATTTAAAACCATCTCCTGACCTTTTCAAAGTTGCATCTAAGTCATGCTCCTCTTTGTAATTGATAGCATCATCAAACCCAAACCTTTCTTTCAGAAGTTGAACATCATTAAACATATATGTAAGAGCTGAAAGTGAGAAATAACTTGGCTAATTTGTAACCATTATACTTGTTCCATAAATAAGATCTTCCTGTTAACTTCCCCAAGTTCCCATAGGCATGAATAAAAAGAAGCGGCTGACTCCATATTCTCACCTTTTGGCTACTACCAGCACTTCCAACAACATAACAACTTCCCAGCTTTGCAAGTTGACCAATCACCAACAAGCTGACCAACTGCACCAAATGCTGCTGAAACAAACGCATATTCTCCTCTTTTAGGAGAACAAACTTCATAGAAACCAGCACAAGCAGTCACTCCAGGCATAACTATTGAAATAATAGCAAAAAGAACTGTCACAGTGAAAAGAATGAAAGCAGTGTAGCAAAAGTTTGTGTTCAGAACTTAGCTAGTAAGTAATATTAATGCTGAATAATTTTTTATAAAATTTTCACACAACCGCCTTGAGAATATTATACTGTGCAGTTGACCAAATTAAAGAACTGTTGATTTTTCTTGTCTTGGATTGGTAAAGTTGGCTGGATTCTCTCTGCAACATCCAGATAGCATGAAAGTTTAATCGATATATGCTGCTGCTATGGCTAAACATACATGCACGAAGACACCTAGGCACAACATCAAGCTCTATAGTACTATGTTTGCACCAAAAAGAAAAAGAGAAAGAGAATAAAATAAAAATAATTTGACTGGGAATGAAACTCACCAAGAACCCCAGCATAGTAGGAAAGAGGCACATCGGTATGCCTAATTTTGAAGAGTCTTTCAGGTCTAGTTATGAAACTGTATTCTTCCCATCCTGTGGTTCCCCAAACAAAGTCCCCTTCCTTGAAGCCTTGGTGCGTAGAATCCAACACTTTAGCCACTCCAAACCCGGTAATGAGCTGCCAAGGGGATAACAATCACAATACTTCACTAATAAACATGAATGCCATATTTTCTCATGATGCCTGATGAAAATTAACTTCGATTAGAAGCATATGCAGGGGTTATATTGTCAAAATGAAATTGAGAAATTATAATTTTTCCTCTTAAGCTTATTCACGACAAAAATCCCAATAATGCAATCATAAACAATTCGCAAGGTTTCAAACTATTAAAGAAAAAATTTAAAAGTTCAAAAATTATGGCAGGAACTGGATATACATAGCAACACTAGCACTTTTTACCAATAAGAAAGAAGGTTTTTTTCAGACTCTTAATTTCATAAACCAGATTCTTCAAATATGGAAAAAAAAATCAATAATAAAGAGAGACAGAGAGAGAGAGAGGGAGTGCATGCAGAACCGGCAGTGAAGGGAGTAAACTCAGGGTCTTGATCATTCCTCATGCGGAGTCTCATGTAAGGATCGGAAGACAGGTAAAGTTTTTTGACCAGCACAACTCCTTTGCTGGTTTCTGGTATCTTCAAAGCAATGGTACTAAAGCTTATGTACATGTCTGATTCTTTTGGAAAACCAGACACGTAGTCCCTCAGTGTCACCCTTTTGTTCCTCACCAGAACTTCTGAACCATTGTCCTTTGCCATTTCTAAGTACAAGAGAATAACATAAAAAGGTTTTTGGCTTGTTCAAATCTGGTCTGATTTATACTTTCCAAAAGGAATTTAAATTATGATCCCTATAGAAAATTAGCATTTATGTTTTCCCTTCTAGTTAATAAAATATATGAAAACCTTGGTGAATATTACATGAGAACTTTACTTTTAGACTCCTAACATATATTAGTAATAATTATTATAGCCCAAAAGTTGTTTGGTTGCAAATGTCCCGTTACTGATTTACACAAGAAAATTTACCTAAAACGTGTGGGACGTGAGGGATAGATTAGATCATGATTCATATGTTAACCAAAGATTGGAAGGACTGAGTGCTGCACACGTAGGAACTGAAGCCATTCCACCTAAGACTTTTTCTTTATCACGTGTCATTTCCGGCATCCATGGCAACCCACCCTGAAAAAATAATAAGGACTAGATTCGGTGGAGGTTTGGCCAGTTCTACCAACAACTGGTCCAACCCAAGACTAACCATAGATGATAGAGCTTAATAGTCTATGATTCTAAAGGGTTTTACATCCTTTTCAGCGCAAACAAAAAGGGAACCTCCGACAGTTAATATATATATAAAAGCAGATGAACTGAGAGCATATTGTATTCGTATTACTACCTCTGGATCTATTGACAAGATTGGTCAAAAGAAAAAAATTGTCAAAAAAATCTTGACTAGAAAACCAACAAATTCTATGGACTTAGGCCTAATGGGCCTCCAAATAATAGCGACGAAGATTTGTGGATGAATCCGTAGAAAACGAGTATACATATACATATATATATATCATCATCATCATCCAAGTAACAATTGAATTCCATGGTTGACGTCGGCTACCCATACGAATTTTCAAAAACTGCTTGTCTGACTTATTCTTTATGAAGTTTCTATGTTACCTTCTACTTCCCGCGTATAAGAAGCCTTGATACTTCTATATATGCGGTGCCTCATCCAAGAATGTGTTAACAAAATATCAGAAACAAACGA